ATGAAGAAGGGAGCGGCTTTTTGAGCGGCCGAGAATCATCCTCGATAGATCCTCGACGCAAATATCTCCTCAACTAGAGAATGTAGAAGGAAGCTAAACATACTGTTAGAAAGCGCAAACCTTCCGCTTTCCAAAACTGTCTTCGTTTTCCAAGATCTTGCGAAATTAGAGAGATATTGCCTTTTAAGTGGCAAAAACTCGCATGAAAATTCAGCATCCTCGACGCTCCCTCGACAAAATTTGAGAGACCCTATCTCTTCGAGTGTAAAGCTTTCAGATCAATTTCAATATTGTAGCAAATCCAGCTCTATCTAACCCTACCACATACTGCTCCAAAGGTTATGAAATGGGGAATGGAACCTTTTCATCGAGAGTGTAGATTTCGACGGTTTCGGCAAATCTGACCCACGGATAAACCGCGCTGCAACTGAACGCTTTGCTGTACATTGATGGAACTCGCTTATTCACATCAAATCAAAGTTAGAGGGGTCGTATCAAGATCCCGATCTGAGGGGGGGGGTCGTACTGATCTGACCACGTCCTCGACACGATTTTCACCTGGTGGGAAGTGTTGAAGGTCCCACAGCCGATTCCTCGTGGTCCACTTGCTATTTTCATGTGGGTCGAGGTTACCTATCTGCTCTTAACAATCATTACGGTAAATGAGTTATCCATACGGTCAATAAGCCTGCCTAAACATCGCAAAGTTTCAACGATTTGTGCTTAAAGGCAGCGATTACGATAGATTTCAAAGGGGTTTGGAGGGGACGAGGGGGTCTCAATAGTACGCCAATGGCGAAAAAAGCAAAGAAATCCGTCAAAAATAAGCAAAATAGTACCCCTTTGATTGCCCTTTCATTTTCGACCATGGATGAGCGACGGTAAAGAACGACGTTGTTCGGACGTGTTAACCCCGATAGCCGCCATCATGCCAACAAGCATAGTGTTTGATTGATAAGGCATACATGGGCAAGTTGGAAGATACAGCCGCTAGAGGGAAAAGATCATCCAAAATGCAAAATCCAGATCATCAACAAAACCAGTGGGCGGGGCGGCGCATGGGGCGGAAGGGCGCAATGGTCCTGCTCAGCAACCACAGCACTGTTCGCAGTGGAAGCGCCACACATCGCTTCCTTGGCGGCCTGCTAATTGCTCTGTGGGGAGCAGGTTCTCCGCAGATGTGAAAATTCCTTTCCGTACCCACTTCCTTTAAGAGAATGCATTCAGAAACTGGTGAAGGTCTCCAGTGAATGTCTATCGGTCATCTTCTCTAGAAGCATAACCTGTGTTGTCTCTCTTTCACTATTAGTTTGAACTCACGAATTTTTGATGAATATTCATATTTTACTGCTTCATTTATTGTTTTTCTACATTTTTCTCAATAAAATTTACTCAAAACCATTTGAAACCACAGCTGTGATTACGAGAGCAGTCGTAAAACAACATCAAATAATAAAATATCAAGAATTAGTGGAATGTGAAATGTTTACGTCCCTGCACAGTATTATAGTCCCTGCACAGTATTATAGAAGAATCGAAAACAGCTCGTTCTTCTCAACTTCATGCTCCTACCCATTCAGAAGCGGGGCCACTCGAGCAGTGGGAAACAAAGGCAAATGCAACTCTTTGGCGGAATCGTAGTGATCTCGAAATCATGGACATAATTATTAGGTTAAGTCATAAGTGAGTGCCGATTTTTCAATCCCGAACCATCTCTTGCTTGTGTTGTTTCTAGCAAAGGAACATATCATACAAATAATCTTTGCGCGAAGTCCGCGCAAGTCTGGAAAAGAATTATCACTTGCGCATAGATGGAGGACAGCTGTAGACAGTTGTGGTGAATATGGCATTTGATAAAGATGGTCCGAAAGTAGTTTCAACAAATAGGGTCAAACCACCTTGACCCACCTACAGCAGAAGAGCAGGACCAGTTCATAATATGTTCTTTGGTTTTGGTCTCGTATTTACGAAAAATGCGCTGTTACAAAGCGATAGTTCAAAAGCTTGTGAAATTCTCGGAAGCTCTAAGGGTGGTCGTTGGATATCGAACTTTAGTAAAATTTTGGCAAAGAGATTAAAGGATAAAGCATTTGCCGTTGATCAATCCCGTTTTGGGATGCGGCACGCATTCTACTTCCATTTGTACATTCGTAGTGGCGTTTTGAAGGCCTATACAGGGGGGGGGGCTAGTGGCGTTCTGAAAGCTCCTACAGCGATGTGGCCTATACAATGACTTGCGGGGGCCAGCCGATGTACAAGTCAGTGTTTTTATCCTCCCAGACAAGTCTGGTACCAATTAACCGACCCCGGAGGGATGGAAGGCTTGGTTGGCCCGGGCGACTCACGACCCAGGATTTGATCCCCGGACCGCTCGCGTGGTAAGCGTGCCACTTGCCACTACACCACTTCCGCCCGCAAAGAGATTGATAGAGCCAAATGTGCTTCAGAATTGTTAATAAGGTCGCTACTGAATTAGGCATAACTAACTTGTGGTTTTGAGCCACATAAAGTGTATTGAAAAGTCCGGAAAAGTGG